CCAGGAAAGAATTAAGAAATATCCAGGACTGATATTTAGCTATCTATCAATATGGCTACATTGTTAAAATACCTTTGATATTGTCTGGTAAACTGAATTGCTCTAGCCCTGAGCTCTTTGAATGCCTCCCTCCCCCGGGACAGTCTAGAAAGCTTCATGATCCAGCAAAGGGTACATATGGCAAGCAGGAGGCCTCTGAGATCTAGTTCCAACATTATTACTGATGCCTGTCCTAACTGGTCAGTGCTTAAGCTGTACTGATGATTAATTCTGCATATCACCCCTGGAAATGTAGACAATGGAAGACAGACAACTTCAGTCTCCGGGTGCTCCCCAGCTCCACCTACAATTTGATTAGAATGTTTCTATGTGGCTCTGATCCCCGCAACCAGGAGTACCCCTGTGAGGGAATTCTCATAGAGTGTGGCCTCAGATAGGATGCGCAGCTGGATTCAATAGACGAAGCTGGGCTGCGAAGTTGCTTGATATACTTTATTTTATCATCAACTAGGCGGGAGCCCTCTGTCCTTAGATACAAAACAGGGCATGTGCTCCCTCCTGCCCTGATCACGTCTCTTCCTATGACTGATGCTCTCACGGGATGGTCTAAAGGCTCTTGTGACTTTTACATATGAATGACTGAACCCTCCACGTGCAGCTCTAACCCTCATCAAGCTCCAGAATTTGACTTCTATAATGGAAGTTTCCACCTAGATATCCACCTAGTTTCTACCTAGAATCTAAAAAGGGGTCATTGTTTCCTTACCAGTCTGTCATCTCTGGCCTGTGCTTTGCTTGACACATGCCAGATGGGAATGATGGTTCTTTAGTCCCACCTCTTCTCCAATGAGGGCCTCAAAATAATTTTTGTGAAAACAGAAGAGAAGCAAACCCAATTTTTGTCAGGATTGTCAAAGCTCTAACATTGCTAAAAGCTGCCATCCACTCCTGCTGATCCTTAATAACCTCCATGGAGCTCAGATCTTCACAAAGCTCCTGTCACCATCTCAATCAAGAAGGGCAAACTATGAAACTTACTTTTCCAGACACATCTTGGTCAATGCAAGCAGGCGGAAACACCATCTGACTTGTGCCATGTTCCTTACAGTCTTCCAGTGACTAGTTAATAGATTACTAGACAATTTCCAGCATAGAGGAGTCATTGACTACTAAAATTATATCCTAGTTTAGTTATATTTTATGTGACCTGAACTAGCCTTGAAGGTCCTAAACTACCAGAAATGATAGAACTTGTGGGTGAATGCTAACAGAAGTTTTTAAGATTTTGACCATGCCATATTCTCTTCAACAATGTATCCATAGGATGTCAAAATATCAGTACCCTTTAAGAGAGAACTACCAGACTAGTCAAGGCAATGCAGAAATTTAATGGAATTTACTAGCTATTACTGGCAGTTATTTGCATTACTTCAGCCTAATCATCCAAAGATCTGAACAAGAAGAGATTTTTAGCTTCCAGTTATGGCTATGATTTTTTAGTAGCTAGTGATCCTTCAGTCCTAGAAGTAGAGGGTATAAACACCTATCCAGTGGCATTTGTGCTGATTCCACCAACATCACAGACTAATTCTCTCCCAGAGTAGGAGAATTTCTGCCTAAACTCACTACTCTTGGACTCTCTTCTCAACAGAAGTTGATCACCTCGCATGGAAATGAGAACTATTAGCAGACATAGAAGTACCATCTCCAAGAGATGGCACTGCTTGCTGGTACACAAAAAGCTACAGAACCTGGAACACATCTGGATACCCAACCCATAGCAGGTGAGCCAGGCCGCCTCATTGTCATCAAGCAAATCTTATTCACATGCATTTGAACTTCACAGCAGTCTAGTCACAGATGTAGTAAAAAGCAAACAAACACTTCTGTGGTTTGGGTTCTAACCAAGATTCAAAAGGTGACATTGAAAAAAAAAAAGATTAATTATTGAAAAGATAGATTCTTTGGAATTAAAAAAAATCTCTTTTAAGAAATGTGGCTAAAATAAAACCAAATCATATATAAATTACTTTTAATTTATAAAAGAGGATTCTAATAAAAATAAAAAATGTTAAATTCTCTTACCTGCTGAACTAAACTCTGCAAATATACCTTTGTTTGTTTGAGGCTTCCCATCTGGATCAATGTCCATGATGGTACGCCACAATTCAGAAAATCTAGCTCGTTTTTCTTTGGGCATATATATTCCATGCCATAGTGCTTTCAACATATAGTCAATATTGATCAGAATTTGCCCAATTCTGGTATCAAAATAAGCTGGGGGTAATTGACAAGAAGAACTCTGATCATAATTAGCTTCTAAACTGACTGAAGGAATTTGATTTAAGCAATAAATTCCAACAGCCAATTCTCTTATGATCTGATGGACTTCTCTATAGTCTAAGAGGGCAGCAGGGTCCACAGGAGTCAGTAGGATTGCAGTGGAGAAGCCTACATTATTCATTTGACTCATGATTCCACACGGCATGTCTAGTTGAGAGCGAACATCTTCTTTGGCAGACAGCCAGCTAACTAGTGCAGTAGTTAGCAACTCTTGTACTTCACTCCGATCATACTTTTCAAAAAAAGCAGAAGCATTTCTCTGTACAGCTAAATTTTCCAGGTAGGTTTCTTCATCTTGATTTTGATCAAATCTAGGTGCTCCTTTTTTGGGCAATCTTAACATTTCTAATTAATTCTACTGTGTCCTTTTTGAAGTTTCTGCAATGAAATGAATGAAAAGGAAAAGACAAGCAATAAAATTTATCATGGTAATGAAGCTGAATTTCTCAAGAGATAAATCTATACCTTTCATCTTTATGGTTAATTGTTTCATGGTCAACCACTACATAATTGACACACATTATATTAGTTTCAGGTGTACAACATAGTAACTTAATATTTGTATATATTTTGAAATGATCACCACAAAAAATCAAGTTAACATCTGTTACCATACATAGTTACAGAATTTTTTTCTTATGAGAACTTCAAAGATTTACTCTTAGCAATATTCTGATATGCAATATGTTATTATTAACTATAAACATTTATTGATTTTTGGCTGCTCTGGGTCTTTGTTGCTGGAAGGGCTTTCTCCAGCTGTGACGAGTGGGGACTACTCTTCGCTGCAATATACGGGCTTCTCAATTGCGGTGGCTTCTCTTGTTGCAGAGTGCAGGCTCTTGGTGTGTGGGCTTCCAGCGTTGCAGCTCACTGGCCCCGGAGCGTGGGCTCAGCGGCTGTGGCACAGGGACTCAGCTGCATGTGGAATCTTCCCGGACAAGGCACTGAACCTGCGTCTCCTACATCAGCAGATGGATTCTTATCCACTGTGCCACCAGGGAAGTTCTGGTATTATTAACTATAGTTGCCACGCTATACATTACTTCCCCATGACTTCTTTATAACTGAAGCTTGTACCTTTTGACTCCCTTCACCCATTGTACCCACCTCACCCTCTGCCTCTGGCAACCACCAAACTGTTCTCTGTTATCTATGCTTGGGTTTGTTTTTTGTTTGTTTTGAGATTCCACATTAAGCAAGATCATATAGCATTTGTCTTTCTCTGTCAGACTTATTTCACTTAGTATCATGCCTTGAAGGGCCATGCGTGTTGCCACAAATGGCAAGATTTCATTCTTTTTTATGGCTAAACAATATTTCACTGTGTATGTGTAAATAAATGCTCCACTTTCTTTATCCGTTAATCGGTCAAGAGGTTGTTTTTGTGTCTTGGCTGTTGTAAATAATGCTGGAATAAATATGAAGGTCTATATATCTTTTGAAGTTAGTATTTTCATTTTCATTGAATAAATACACATAAGTGTTATTACTGGATGATATGGTAGTTCTATGGATTTCCCTGGTGGCTCAGACAGTAAAGAATTTGCCTGCAGTGTGGGAGACCTGGCTTTGATCCCTGGGTTGGGAAGATCCCCTGGAGAAGGGCATGGTTACCCACTCCAGTATTCTCGCCTGGAGAATTTCATGGACAGAGGAGCCTGGTAGTTGACAGTCCATGTGGTCACAAAGAGTCTGACATGACTGAGCAACACTTTCATGACAGTTGTAATATCTTTTTCAGGCTTAAACTAATTGCAGCATAAGAAAGTTGAAATCTGAATTAAAATTGTAGAACTTTTAACATTAATCATAATATGCTTTTCAAAAGAGGTAAAAAGATACAAGGAAGTATACCAAAAAGAAACAAGTTTATATATAAGAAGATACTGCTGCATACCTATTCTTCTGTTGTTATAGAGGCATTTTCACAAGGTCAATTTTTTCAGGGTTTTTGTTTTGTTTTTTTAAATCAAAGAAAACACACACTTGTGTTTTAAAGAAAACACACACTTGCTTTTTTTTAAAAAAAAGCAAAGACAAGAAATAGTTCCTTAATGTTGTATCTCTGTTCAATAGAAATGGGATTCTATGTAGTGCCTCTCCATTTCTGAAATAATAACCTAACTAGTATTTACTGAGCATCTATTTACCCAGCTCTTTATACACAAAAATTTTCATTTAACTGGTCTCTCTGTACAGTGATTCTCAAAATCTAGGCTGTTTTTCTGGGTCTTGTTCCGGCAGACCGCTGGATCCTACTCTAGAGATTGAGTGGGGTACGAGTGGGGCCAGAGGATTTCCATTCCTGAAAAAGATGCTGCTGGTTCTGGCAGGATACTTGGAGAACCCAGTTTCGCGACAGGCGTTGGGAGCCCAACTCTACAGAGGCAGAAACCAGGCTAGGAAGAAGAGAGGATGGGCCTGAGGTTTCACACCTTCAGAATCAGAACAAACTGATTCCTCAAGCCCATCCTCAAGTCCAGGCCCTATGCACACACAGACGCGGGAAAAGGGAAGGGACGAGGAAAGGAAGCAACCTGCTCTGCGATGACAGTTTGTCCAGGAAAAGGAAACTTCATCCACACTGGTGCCCAGAGTACTCCCGGGGTCAGGGACGGCAGTCTTCTCGAAGGGTCTCTAGCCTGGACCCGAATTCACCGCCTGGAACCCCGAGTGACCGAGAGCGAGGGAGGGACTGGACGGGACTCTCCTGAGCAGAGGACTGGGAGGCCCGCTTCCCCCGCGGGGTCCTGGGAGCCCTGGGCCTCGCCTGCGGTCCTGCCACCCGCGCGGGCAACAGCCGTTGGTTCTCGGGCTTGGGGCCGCCGGCCGGGGCGCCGCCGCGAGAGGGCGCTCTTGTACACCCGTGGGTGGGGCCTCTTCCAGAGGCCGCGGGCGCCCATCCCGGCTAAGATTCATCCCTCACCGCCACCCCCCGCCCCACCCCTTTAGAACTCAATCTGGACTTGGGCTTGCGAAGTCAAGTGGGTCTTAGGAAGCATCACTACGAACAAAGCTAGCAGAAGTGATGGAATTCCAGCAGAGCTATTTCAAATCCTAAAAGATAACGCTGTGAAAGTGCTGCACGCAACATGCCAGCGAATTTGGAAAACTCAGTAGTGGCCACAGGACTGGAAAAGGTCAGTTTTCATTCCAATCCCAAAGAAAGGCAATGCCAAAGAATGTTCAAACTACCACACAATTGTACTCATCTCACACACTAGCAAAGTAATGCTCAAAATTCTCTAAGCGAGGCTTCACCAGTATGTGAACTGTGAACTTCCAAATGTTCAAGGTGGATTTAGAAAAGGCAAAGGAACCAGAGATCAAATTGCCAACATCCTTTGGATCACAGGAAAAGCAAGAGAGTTCCAGAAAAAAAAAAATCTGCTTTATTGACTACGCCAAAGACTTTGTGTGGATCACAACAAACTGGACAATTCTTAAAAGAGTTGGGAATACCAGACCACCTGACCTGCCTCCTGAGAAATCTGTATGCAGGTCAAGAAGCAACAGTTAGATCCAGACATAGAACAACAGACTGGTTCCAAATAGGGAAAGGAGTACATCAAGGCTGTATACTGTCACCCTGTTTATTTAACTTCTATGCAGAGTACATCATGTGAAATGCTGGGCTGGATGAAACACAAGCTGGAATCAAGATTGCCGGGAGAAATATCAATAACCTGAGATATGAAGATAATACCATCCTTATGGCATAAAGTGAAGAGGAACTAAAGAATCTCTTGATGAAAGAGGAGAGTGAGAAAGTTGGCTTAAAACTCAACATTCGAAAAATGAAGATCATGGCATCTGGTCCCATCACTTCATGGCAAATAGACGGGGAAACAGTGGAAACAGTGACACACTTTATTTTCTTGGGCTCCAAAGTCACTGCAGATGGTGACTGCAGCCATGAAATTAAAAGATGCTTGCTCCTTGGAAGAAAGCTATGACAAACCTAGACAGCAGATTAAAAAGCAGAGACATTACTTTGCCAACAAAGATCCATCTAGTCAAAGCTATGGTTTTTCTAGTAGTCATGTGTGGATGTGAGAGTTGAGAATAAGGAAAGTTGAGCACCAAAGAATTGATGCTTTTTAACTGTGGTGTTGGAGAGTCCCTTGGATTGCAAGGAGATCCAACCAGTCAATACTAAAGGAAATCAGTCCTGAATATTCACTGAAAGGACTGAAGCTGAAGCTCCAATAATTTGGCCACCTGATGTGAAGAGCTGACTCATTGAAAAATACCCTGATACCGGGAAAGACTGAAGGGAGGAGGAGAAGGAGACGACAGAGGATGAGATGGTTGGATGGCATCACTGATTCGACGGACATGAGTTTGAGCAAGTTCCAGGAGCTGGTGATGGACAGGGAAGCCTGGCATGTTGCAGTCCAGACAGGACTGAGCGACTGAACACATAACACACAGCATGGTGCTCAGAGCCGAAGTCCAGTTCAGTTCCGTTGCTGAGTCATGTCCGACTCTTTGTGACCCCATGGACTGTAGCCTGCCAGGCTCCTCTGTCCATGGAATTCTCTAGGCAAGAATAGTGGAGTGGGTTGCCATGCCCTCCTCCAGGGGATCTTCCCAACCCAGGGACTGAACCCAGATCTTCCTCATTGCAGGTAGATCCTTTACCATCTGAGCCACCAGGGAAGCCCAGGAATACTGGAGTGGGTAGCCTATTCCTTCTCCAGGGGATTTTCCCGACCTAGGAATCTAACCTGGGTCTCCTGCATTGCAGGCGGGTTCTTCACCAGCTGAGCCACCATCTCTATCATTTCTTACTTTGGCAATTTGTCTCCGAGGAAGCACAGAGGCAGAGGTGGCGTTGGCAAGGTGCTGGGCTCTGAGGTGGTCCTGAATTGGAATCCTTCCTCTAACATCATTCGTTCCTTCAATAAACACTTTCAGAATGCTGGTTATGAGCTAGGCCCTGGAGACCCTGGAACAGGCAGATGCAAAGCCCCAAGGTTAGTCCCTCCAAAAAGCACACAGCTGTATTTAAACAATGCCATGAGTGTATGATGTAATAACAGCACATGAAGGGATGCTAACTAAAACCAGGGCTGGGAATGGCTGCCCTGAGGAAGTGATCTTTTAAGCTAAGCCTGATAAAGATGTATCCAAGCAGAGAGCTGAAGTAGCTTTCTGGGGATAGGGAACAACAGGTGATGGACAACTGAGCTGAGAAGAAAGTTGAATTGTTGAGCAATGAAACAAAACTCTGCATGGAGAACAAGAAACATGTGGACACAAAAATATCATGAGGTAAGTGAGGGCTGGACTACACAGGCTGTTTAAAGTTTTTGAACTTTATCCCAAGAGTTTGGGCTCGATTTGTGGCTTAGAGGGTAGGTACAGGCTTGAGTAGGGGCATTTGAGAAGTAAGGATCTCTGATTGGTAACAGATTGAGGAGTGGGAGAGTTTAAAAAGAAGGTGGTCATGTAGTGATGCCCAAGTTTGTCAGACATGCAGGATCAGGGCAAGATTAAAGAGTTCAGTTTTACCTGTGAGAGAACCAAGCAGAGATGTCAGATGTGCCTTAGATACAAAGGTCTGAGTTAAGAGCAGCAGCTTGGGTTAGAGGAATACATTTGGGCTGGCTTAGGGTAAAAGAGGCCAGGGAAATGGCTGGAATCACCATGAAAGAGAATAGAGAATTGAGAACCCAGGATGGAGACCTGAGATATTTAATTATTTAAAGGTCATATGGAGAGGGTGGAGGCAGGAAAGAATACAAACAGCGAGGAGTCAGGAGAGCAGAAAGCCAAGTCTGGTCATAGAAGCCAGGAGAAGAGACTGGCCAACCTCACTGGATGCTGCTCTAGGTCGAGATGAGAACCCAAACTTTTCACTGAATTTAGCAACAGAGAGGGTTTTGTTTGGAGAAAGAAATGGCAACCCACTCCAGTGTTCTTGCCTGGAGAACCCCAGGGACAGAGCCTGGTGGGCTGCCACCTATGGGGGCTGCACAGTCAGACATGACTGAAGTGACTTAGCAGCAGCAGCAGCAGCAGCAGGGTTTTGGTTAACTGTTTGAAGGTAGAATTTCTCTTAGTCCAACAATGTCATTATTTCAGCTGCTGTGGTGATAGTATTAGTAAATTTGTTACTGCTTTCCCAGGGCAAGGGATGTCAAATCACTGTCTTCTTTAGGAGTTGTGTGTTTGCACTTATGACGTATGAGTAATGTAAATTTCTCTACCTAAAACGTTTTGTTCAGGTACCCAGATGGTTTGTTTTATGTGGGATCTTGGGAAAGACTTTTGCTTTGTTTGAAGGATTAACATAGAATTTCATTCCAGTTTATGGGATTAAGTATCAAAAAAGTTGAAAAAAATCAGGCCCTCTGGGAATGGAACAAAAACCAAAAAAAAAAAAAAAATGCACACAGAGTATCCTGCCAGAACAAGTGAACTAGAGATCTCCTTTAGAGATTCAGTTGATTAAAATAATACATGTAAAATTCAGACTAGTTTCTGGCATGTTTTTAGCACTGAACTATATTGTTGTTATAAAAATCATTACTATTCAACTCTAGGCTGCAGGGCAAACCTCAAGTTTTTCTACTCCCATTAGGAACATCAATTTAGTGCTCAGGACCACGAAGTCATCCAGTTGAAAGCTATTCAGGTAATATCTCAATCTGGTTTGAACACTGCACTTGACAGGAAATACAATTCAGGGCATGTGAAAGTCTTTTGACACATGCTTGTGCTAAGTTGCCTCAGTTGTGTCCAACTCTGTGCAACCCTATGGACTGTAGCCCACCAGGCTCCTCTGTGCATGGGATTCTCCAGGCAAGAATACTGGAGTGGGTTACCATGCCTTCCTCCAGGGGCTCTTCATGACAGGGATCGAACTCACGTCTCTTGTAAGTCTCCTGCATTGGCAGGCCAGGTTCTTTACCACTAGAGCCAGCTGGAAAGCCCTGATACATGCCTGCTAATATCCTAACCTTTCTTTTCCACTATAATTAGGAGAATCACAGTATGTCCAGACCTAGAAAGGGTGTCAGCCCTAAATGGGGATGGATGCCAAATGTGACCTTGGTGTCATGGTCACGGATGCGTACTGTGGGTGGATGTCCGGTTGGAGTGAAGTTCAGTAGATATGTGAAAAGGTTGAAAGGGTGAAGGTGGATGGGAGCCAAGAGATGGAAGGTATAGGACCAGGGGTATGCATTTAAATTGGTATATACTAGAACATTTTAAGTACATTTCTCTTTCTAATAGCAAGAAGGGAGAAAAGGATGGGTGCACACACAGGTTAAGTTAGGAGTTTTGGTGTTGGAAAATCAAGTAGTTCTTGGCTTCATTTTGATTTCTCTGTGAAAAGCCCAGGTCACGAGCTGATAATGGGAAAACAAAGGGACGTCAGAGATTTGTGGGACAGGAGAATATTCAAAATAGTCTTCAAAAGTTCTCAGAGCAGGTCAATGAGCTGTCTAAAGAGATGTACCACATATAAATCAGGAGTGTGAACCTCAAAAACCTTAGTTCTCTCGTCTGTTAAATAACAATGATAACAAATTGAGTTACTAGTACTTCTGGATGTAGCTACCATGAAAAGAGTCCATAAAAGCTGCCTTTTGTCACTGTTGCTGGTGGGAAATAACCATGTAAGAGTTCAAAACAATATTAATATCACAGTTTAAAATATCCAGGTTGTTCTTCCAAGTGTAATCTCTTTCTCTGGAGTATCAATTTGATTAAATTGGCTGCACTACTCTACAAAGTTATATAAAAATTCATGTCATGAACTTTAAAACCACATTATGCAATAATAAAGCAGAGTATTTTATTTTTTAAAAAAACCACCATTCAGTAAATGTTCTTACATGATGAAACATCTACTTTTCAACAGAAAGGTTTTCTAAGGAGATGATTTGGAGTCTTTCACATTTATCAGATGCCTTTTCATTATTCTTTTCCATTTTTGCAATTCTGGATCCAAATTGCATGGCCCGCTTTGGCAGAAGAGCAGAGGCTGTTAGACCAAGTTCCATTGCTGCAAGACGCAAAATTAGTTTTTCACCAATTCCACGGGGTAAAGTCAAGTTTGCCTTTTCCCAGACTGGTAGGGAATTTAGAAAGGAGACAACATTTTCATCCAGGAAAGGAAATCTAAAATAGAAAGTACAACCACTATTAAAAAAAAGTTATCTCTTGTGATTATTTTGTTTGTATTTTATTTAATATGTTAAAATTTAAGGTATAAATTAATTATTGAGGGCACAATTTTTCTAAATTAAAAATATTCTAGTTATACAACTTTGTAATCACATTAAAAATTATTTCACAACACTTGTCTAATTTTAATACACATACTAAAATGTAAAAATTTTTTCCCTCAATAAATAAACAAATTAAGCCTATGATGTCAAGAAATAATTTCAAATTGTTTCATAAGGTATCTTCAGGAATGCCTTGAAAACAAGCATGGTCCTGAGTTAATCATTCAAACTGTGTCTGCTCTTTACATGTCTAAAGAAACTGAACTTAAGGAATACAACTCTCTGCTCTTTAGGCTCCCCTAATTTCCTAGCAAATTCTGTTCTTTTTTGTTTAAAATACTCCAATTCCTCCCCCACCCCCAATTACAGTAGTGTTTTACATTTTACTTTAAGTAGAGAGATCGGAAAGGGTTTAAAGGCATTCTTTAAACAGAATATTTTATAAAAATGAATCGTGAAAGCAAATTTAAACGAGAAACTAATTAATAGAGTATGGTTAATATGTATGCCAAAATCCATTAATAAACTGGTTTAGATCTAGCCACTATAGTGGTGTTCATTCAATTACAATTCTGCACTAGCTGTTTTAAACATTCTTCATATCCATTTTTATCCCTGGGTATCATATTGCGGGGGAGGGGGGAGGCGGTCCGTTAGAATTAACTGCTTTTACTGAATAAAATAAATTTCCTTTTCTCTAACCAAGCTGAAATAGGCTGAATTTTTTAATCTCTCATATACAGATACATTTCAAAAGGAAAACATTTTACACACTTTGTATTGTGGTGTTACTTATTTCTTTATGATAAGATTTTGAAAATTACATTAATTTTACATGTCAGAACTGGCAACATAGGCATAACAAACTAGAGACAAGAAAACAATGAAGTCTCAGAGCTGGTATATTATGATGCTCTAACTCCCACAAAGCTCATCTGGACTCCTTGCATGTTTGTACCCCTGCAATAAAACTGCCACTTAATAAATTAACCTACTTGAACAAAGTTCTACTTTTTATAATTAAATGACAAATCTTTTTCTTTAATGCTTCAAAAAGTTGTATTCTTTTGTTTTACTCTGCTTCACTGAGACTGCTTTTTTTTTCTTAACAAACTAAAAGTTTGTGGCAACCTGTGACAGGCAAAGTCTATCAATGGTGGCATTTTCCCAACAGCATTTGCTCACTTCATGTTTCTGTGTGACATTTTTGGAAATGCTTCCATATTTCAAATTTTTCTTGTTCTATCTGTTGGGCTTCCCTTGGGGCTCAGTGGTAAAGAATCTGCCTGCCAGTACAGGAGACCTGGGTTCAATCCCTGGGCTGGGTAGATCCCTGGAGAAGAAATGGTGGCAACCCACTCCATTATTGGTGTCTGAGAAATCCCACTGACAGAGGAGTCTGGTGAGCAACTATGGGGTTGCAGAAAGAGCTGGACATGACTTAGCGACTAAACAACAACAAAAACAAGAACAATTATATTTGTTACGGTGATATGTGATCAACAATCTTCGATGTTATCACTGAGACTGCTTTTTGTTTTTTATTTTTTTTGTTTTTTATTTTATTTTTTTGTTTTGTATTTTTAAATTAAGGTATATATATAAAAATTTAGACAAACGTATGCTTATTTATGTCTAAATACATACATACATATTTTAAATACTAAATACATATTTATGTCTAAATACAGCATAATAAAAGTATGCTGCTGCATACTTAATAGACTACAGCATAGTATAAAGATAGTTTTTGTGTGCACTGGAAAACCAAATAATTCATTTGACTTTCTTTGTTGCAATGGTCTGGAAGTAAGCATGCAGGATTTCCAAGTATGCCTGTACATACAAGAAATGTCTACAAAGTCAGGCTCTGTCACATTGGAGAAGGAAGCTTGGGAAGAAAGCAAACATTTGAAACAAACAGAGCCCTTGAAATACCTCCCCTCAGTATTTCACTACCTCAAGTTTTATAGTCTTTCACTGTAGCCTTTAATCACGTCACTGTATCACCTTTGAAAATTACTGTAAAGCCATTTCTTGGAGAATGAGTTCTGGAAAAACTGTTCCTCTGGTTCCTCTCCAGCATGCTTCTGACTAGCTGTAATACAAAGCCAAGATACTGCTGCTACTGTTACTCATTTGAACAAGTATCCAAAGAAAAAGGAACCTAAAAGTCTCCTTTTTAGGTTCAGTCTACTGCTTTGACAAAAACATCAAACAACCCTCCAACAGACAACAAGAATTACCTTGCTTCTTTTCCATGATCACTGATAATTCTATCATCACGACCAAGATTTCTAGAAGAAATTCGACCCAGCTCCATTGCGATTTCCTCATTCAGTCCTTCCAGCCCATGTGTCAGGAAGCGGGCCCGATGACGAGAATAACCCGCAAGCTGCTCATCTGCACCAATTCCAGTGAGAACCACCTACAAAGGTCGAAAGAAATCTACATCAGAATATCACCTACTATGCATTGAGGAAAATAAGGCTTAAAAAAAATAATCCCAAAGATAACATTTTCAGAAAAAATCCACAAGGCAAAGTCATAAGATAATAAAATATGCCCAATTTTTACAAAGTCATATACTTTGTGTTGTAGTTTAAATGCAATTAAAAGATGCTATATCCTTGCAACTTAAGCATTAAAAGCTTTAAGGGTCAAAATTAGGCCTCAGAAATCCTAAGCCGCCGTGTCGTACCTTTGCACGGCTGTGATACGGCTGTGCTCCATCCTGGGTCACTAACCAACCAGCTCCTCGGGAAGCAAACCAGACTGCACAGCCAATGCTATCATCCAGGACTGTATCCAAGGGCTGGATTAACTGCGATATTCGAGTTCTTCTTAATCTTTGCAGTTCTTCTAGAGAAATATTAATTTCAACAAAATTCCAAATCCGTGAAGGGCTGGCAGCATGCAGTTCCTTCAGTCCCGCCCTTCCTGTGACTCGATCTGGTACACTGAACTGTTCCCCAGGGCTGGTGGCAGCAGCAGCAGCAGCAGCAGAGCTTCTGGAGAATTCCTCAGAGGGCACTGCACAATGATTTTTCTGTTTTCTCCCTTTTTTGTTAAAATTAACTGGTATGGTCTTTTCTTTAGTCATGAAAGCCACATTGAGAAGATCAATTGGTTCATCTAAAGGAATATGATGGTCAGCAAGCGCCGCGATGACCATGGAATCAATCCCTCCAGAAAACAAAACTGCAACATTTGCTTTCCTATTACTAGTTTTCAAAACTTCGCCTGGAGTCAGCTTTTCATCCCTAGGTAAACACAAGACACGTCTCTTGACTGCGATACTCAGGACATCAATGAACTGCTGAACTACCTCCTTCGTGTGTCCATCAGTAAGGAAGACCTGAAGGGTCGCTCTTGTCAGCGGACTCCTGGAAATGCTGCTGCAATGGGTCTCAAATGCAGCTTGTGGCAACGCCATATTTAAAGGGACAACAGGTTCTTTAAGATACAGTTTGGCTTCATTTGCTGCCAAAAAGACAAATGCTGGCAAGGCTGCTGAAATCTCAGTCAGGCTATTAACACATTCTCTGATATCATCCCCCCCAGAATTGTATTTCCAAGGATACAACTTTAAAACAACAGATTGGGAAATGGAAACAGACTTGAGATCAATTCTGAAAATTCCAGATGCTGGAACTTCCTGCCACTGATCAGCCACTCCAGATGCTTGGGTGCCAACTGAAGAGAGGCAGAAACTCTTGCCCAAGTTACTAAAATGCCAAAGCAAGCTACGACGACCAAAAAAGTCCCTACCAAACCATAAAGAATGGCTAGATGCTTGATAATATATAAAAGCCCAAGGACCCTGGACTTCTGAAAAGAGTGACAAAATATCAGATTCATTCTTACAAGAGGAAAGATAATGAAACATGATTTGAGTATCATTCTCTTCGGCTTCAACCTTGATCCCACTAAATACTTCTCCATTCCACAGAAATACATTGCCTCTTTCATCTTCCACAGGCTGGGCAGTCAGCACACCTCTTAAGTGAAGGACATGGCCAGAGAATAAACACTGGTAGTTAACACTGGACCTTAACAACTGTTTACTACTATTGGGCCCCCGTCGTTTAAGATTACACAGTAAATCCTCTTTCAAATCTTTGCTAAAATGCTCAGCAGAAAAGCTTACTGCACAACAAATGCCACACATTGCTGTGTAAAATCAAGTTGGCTATTTCTTGATTTTGGTTTTCTCTGAGTTTTCTATCTCTTGATATTCTTTCCTCAGCTCATCCAATATATCTGTGGGAGAGGGGAGAAGACACAGTAAAGAATAAAAATTCTTGAAGCTTTACCTAGTAATTCAAAAGGCAAAACAAGCTATTTTCCAAGATTGAACCACATACGTACTGTGCTAGTTTAAATAATAATTTACAACAGACTTCTGATGAAGAATATTTATTATTTAGGGATCTAGTTTCTGTTGTTAAATGCTTATTTTGACCCAGACATTGAGCTATGCACAGTTTATATACATATCATTTTATTTAAATTCCGTAAGACTTTGCAGGCTCAAAGTGATTCACTCAAAATTAAAAAGGCAGAAATTGGCAGAATAATATTTCATACCTATATCTGTCTAAAATTCTAAAGCTTACATTAATTCTTGTGGCTTTCTAACACATCTTATAGTTCTTAAATTTGATTTTATTGTTACTGTTAACTCACCATTGGAAGGCTAACTTGAAGAAAACCAAACCATTCCACTAATTTTATTAACTGGTATACCACCATCCAATCTTTAGATATACATATTTATACATTCAGCTGTAGACAGTGCAACTGAGGCACCATCACGAATTTCCACAGAAAGCCCACAAAAGAATTTCTTTTTGTTTCTGTGTAATGTACCAAAAAAACTTACTTTTGCTTTCAGAAAGCATTTCTGTTCGCTCTGCAAGAAAGAATATGTTGCTGTTCTGTTGTTGCCTATATACTTTCTGCAAAACATAAGTGAGGCTAATATCATGGTTTGATCTAAAAGGTAGATGTCAAAACTCTGAACCCTGTTACTGCTTACTATTGAACATTAGTAACATGTTCAGAACAATACCTCGGCAGATAAAGATAAACAAAGAACTCACCCATTATCCAACAATCTAGAAACTGCTACCATTAACACTGAGGCAAAACTTTTTTTTTCTCTGAACATACTTAATACCATTTTCCTTCAATAATATAGTTTATTTGGTCATTTAGATGTTGCCAACTTTTCACTATTATAAATCAAACTTGTGATGAATGTCTTTGTAACTAAATTTCCGTGCACTCCATGATACTTTCCTAATGTATCAATTCCTATAAATAGGAATCAAACTAGATCTGCTGGATCATAATAGTACACAGCTTTAAGACTTTGATACATTTTGCCAATTTGTTTTATACAAGTTTGTTATCAACTGTACCTTAACTGCTATTACTCTACATATGAGAAATGTCTAACCTGTCTGTTATACAGTAATCTTCAAAAGTTTTAGAGGGCTCAAGTCATTTCTTAACTTTAAAATACAATGTTTGGCAGTACAATGACCCACTAAGCAGAAATTTGCTTATTTATGAATATGTTCATGAAAATGGAGTTAAATAACCATGTTAAAGATTTGGAAGCTTGGAGTAAAGGAGGAGGTGGGGCGAGGAAGCAGTAGCATTTGTCTTTTTTAAAAAATGAACAAACAAAAAATAATTATCCACATTCACCTGTATAGCTTCTTCTCTTCTCAATAGATTCAAAGTTTATTTATGTCAAGAGAATACACCAAATTCAAGTACAAAATAAATACCACTATTGACTACAGCTCCAGGATAACATAGTACAATTAGTATCATTTGATTCACAGGTAATGTCAATTGCATATGTTGGGGAAACACTATTAGCAACTATGATTAATACACAGATTTACACAACTGATATCAAACCCTCCCACACAGTATTCAGAGTAAATTTAATAACTCACCCTGTTCTTCTTCAGGTTAGAAAGTTCATCCACAACTACTTTTTGTTCTTTAATCTATTGAAATAAAGAAAACTTATTAAATCAGAGATGATCAATGTATGCTCAATAAGAGCTTTTTAAAGAGATAGGATAAGGGGCTCTAAGCATTGATTGTCCAAATGGGCAATTTGGGAATATACAGACTCTTTACAACAGCAGTCTGTGTGGACATGCAGGTGGCAGAAAGTTGAGGGGAAAAGTGATTAGACATAAAGTGTTAGATGGCCCTTTATACCCAGACAGGGGGTTGGCAACCAACACTCATATTCAGGCAAGAACTACAGTTACTAAACAAAATTTTTATCTTTTATTTAAAATAGAGATTATGTAAAAAAAAAAATTCACCAAGACCTGAAAGTAATACCACTTTTTCAATGGTTTAATTGTATCTTAAATTAAAAACAAAACAAAACAAAAAAACAAATGGAATGAGGAGTGGGTGACCTTTCCCTCCCAATAGCCATGCTTTCCATGATTTACATACAAAATGGTATAGCCAGACAGACTAAGCAAGTAGTAGTTAAGTACCCTACATGGGGGGTAAGTAAGTATTAGTCATTCAGTCATGTCTGACTCTTCGACCGCGTGGACTACCAGTCTCCTCCGTCCATGGGATTCTCCAAGCAAGAATACTGGAGTGGGTTGCCACTCCACTCTCCAGGGGATCTTCTCCACCCAGGGATTGAACCCACGTCTCTGGCACTGCAGGCAGACTCTTTATGGTCTGAGCCACCAGGAGTAGTATGACTCATCACTTTTCCATGTTTGCTTGATTCCTCTTTGTATCTCAAAAGCTAGCACAGGGCGGGCACTCTTGAACTAGGTCTCACCTTTTTTAAGTAGAAGAGGGCTCAACTAAATGGTTTAAATGTAATGATAGTGATAATGCAAACATGGCTGATTACATAATGTCACTAGAGCCTCTAACAGCCTTATTTTGTAACCTCTGACGCCTGGGGGATCTGTTATATTTAAGTGTAAGTGGCATGCTATGACAGTAATCATAGCAGGCTGTGCGCAGTTTGAAAATTCATTCCCCACAGATGTGTACCCTTCTGCTTTCCAGCTGCCAGTCACTGTAGTGACTGATTACAGAGAATGGGTTGAATTCCAAGACTGAATTTGTACAACTTCTTTTTAAGGCTTCGAACAGCACTTTCCCATTCATTTTAGGAATGGCAGGTATACTTTAATACTTCAGACAAGGAAATTGTAACAGAGGAATCAGAGATGTGCCCAAGATGCCTGCGTCAGTTTGGGACAGAACCAAAGTATTATCTCAGACATCTATTACCTGAAAGATTATAGCCATCCTCATTTCAAATAAAAATTTTTTTTTTCTTTTTTCCATTTATGGCGTTATATTGGCTCCCTTTTGTCGGGGGAGGAACAAAAGAGCAACAGTGAAATAACATTTTTAGGAGCATAGGTCCAGCTAAATGACCTATGACCTAAATAGGTCCCGTCTGGATAGACGGGAAGAAGGTAACAATGGATAAGGAGAGACCAGCTGCGAAACTTTTGCAGGGTTCCCTATGGCAGATGCAAGGGGCAGGTTTAAGATGGTTAAAAGTGTACACAGTGATAACGGGACACCTTACAAAGAGGCCTCAAAAGTGAAACTGATAGAACTTCGTGATGGATGCAAAGATGGGCTCCCAGGTTACTGGCATGGACAACTGCATGGATGGTGCTGACAATTTCTGACACTACAGGCAGCCGATCTAGGGTGGGTGGTAATTTCTAAAAGTTTTAACTAACAGTACATAGGAAAAAAATCCAACCATGAATCTCAAAGACATTAAGCGGGAGAGAGGCATAAGCTGTGATTTCATCTACATGATGTGCTGGGAAGGATAAAACTGCCCTGATGTAGAGCAGATCAGGGACGGCCGGAGCTTCTGCGCGCGGGAAAGCATGGCTATAAAGGGAGTCTTTTAGGGTCGTGGAACTTGTCTATATTCCAATTGTGGTGGTGGTCACACAATTTATACACGCGTTAAATATAGAGAAAACGAAAGAGCCAAATTTTACGGTATGATACTTTTTAAAATGTTAAAAATTGGTAATAAACCAGAACCAACTAAACTTCCGCCTTACTACCATCTGGGTCTGACCTCGGGGCAAGTTTCAAGGTGTCCCTTTCACCGTACCTGGCGCAGCAGGGCAAAGTCGAGACTAGACCACGGGGCCACCGCGACTCGTCTCCGGCGGGGAGCAGCCCGAGGGCCCTGTTACCTCGCCCCGTGCTCACCTTGCTGCTGAGCTCCTCCTTGTGCAGGGTCCAGCTCTCAGCAGGGACGAGGCCAGCGCCGTCCTCGGGTCGCCCACCTCGGCTGGGCATCTCCGCGGAGAAGCAACCACGCAGGGCGCGAGACCGGGCGGCACTCCAGCACTTCCGCGTCCGTCGCCCTGGCGCGTCTGCGCTCCCAGCGGCCCCAGCCCCTCCCTTTCAATTTCCGGTGAGTCCTGTCAATGGCGTCCGCGTGCTCACTGGAACGCCTGCGCAGTCCGGATCTGGGCCAGGAGTACTTGCGCGCGTGCGCACAAGTGATTAGGGTCCTGAACGGACCCTAGCGGATGGGATGTTGAAGCGCTGTTTACCCTGTGGCATCTAGTAGACTGTAAATTATATGCGCCCCCTAGTGGTGAATATAAAGAATAAAAGTTCAGTAGAAATACCACTTAATATTTATTATCTAGGCAAAAATATGGAAGCCAGACACAGATTTAAGAGATACACTGTTGGTAATGACCCTGTACAGACTTGGTAAAGTTAATGTTAGTTTGTTGTTAGGGTTAAAAGATAATGCAGGATTCTCTGTTAAATATGAATTTCAGATAAATGAATGAAATTTTAGTATGTATGTCTTGTGCAATATTTGCAATATCTCACCCCTATGAGAAAAATTATCCCAAACTTGGAAATAGGCAAGAGATTACTTAGGTGTTCTTTCGTAGCTTTTCTAGGTTTGACTTTTTATTGACTGGGCTCATTTATATTCTGTTAGCGGTGGAGGGGTGTAACTGGTAGATTTTTGGTAGATATGAAAATAATTTCTACCTGATAGACCAGATAACTCCACAAACTGTGATTTAGTGTTCTTCAAGATATTAATTAGTTTTGCATCTAACTCTGCAATCCTATCCTAATTTTTTAAATTAATATATGTCTCAGTCAGTTCAGTCACTCAATCCTGTCCAACTCTTTGCAGCCCCATGGACTGCAGCACACCAGGCTTCCCTATCCATCACCAACTCCCAGAGCTTGTTCAAACTCATGTCCATCGAGTCAGTGATGCCATCGAACCATCTCATCCTCTGTTGTCCACTTCTCCTCCTGCCTTCAATCTTTCCCAGCATCAGGGTCTTTTCCAGTGAGTCAGTTCTTTGCATCAGTGGCCAAAGTGTTTCAGCCTCAGCATCAGTCCTTACAATGAATATTCAGGACTGATTTCCTTAAGGACTGACTGGTTGGATCTCCTTGCAGTCCAAGGGACTCTCAAGAGTCTTCTCCAACACCACAGTTCAAAAGCATCAGTATATGTCTACTTTCTCATAAACTCTTTGAATTGGTTTTTAACTCATTAATTAATGAGTTGAATAAAACTTTGACAAATGTTCATTTTATATTTGTACAGGAAAAATGATTTTCTGTTTTTGAAAAGTATACTTTAACATAGGCTATCTTAAGTTTTCATGAAGATGCCCAAGTGAACCCGTGTGATGGAGTCAAACTTTATGGCTAAGGAAGTAAGTTGTTTAAACCCAAGAATATCTTTTATTGGCTCTTAGAGTACATCCAAAGAGATTATAGAATTAAGATTACTGTCTGTTTTGTCTTTTTACTGATTTTTTAAAATTTTGGTTTTGTTTCTAATTTATGCTTAGCTAAGTTATTCCACATTGGTAACAATGATTGGGAATTCGGTTTTATAGCCTAACCGTTTTATGATAGGGCTTCACCAGTGTCTCAGTGGTGAAGAACCTGCCTGCAATGCAGGAGACCGGAGTTTGATCCCTGGATCAGGAAGATGCCCTGGAGAAGGGCATGGAAACCCACTCCAGTATTCTTGCCTGGAAAATCCAATGGACAGAGGAGTCTGATGGGCTAGAGTTCATAGGGTTGCAAAGAGTCAAACGTGGCTCAAGTGACTGATCACATATGTACACATTTGGTGATATTTTTGGTTGATGGAGATCTAGTCTCTATTAGAAGTGAGAAAACAAAGAATCCAGGTTTTTAGTCTTTTCATTTGTCCTTTGTGAGCTCAAATTAATTAAGAATGTTGTACACCAACTGGGATGAACAGCTTTTTGATATCTAAACTGGTGAACTTTTGTGTTTGTTTAGTTTCACCCTGGGGATCAGTTTGTAAAACTGAAGCTGTAAGTTCTCTATATGTCTGTGTCTATAATTTACAACAGCCTTTATATTTTGCTGAGTAAATGTAAAATGTTTTCCTATTCTGTAGGGTATTGAAAAATTCCATTCTAAAGCCTTTTAAATTAAAGGAACTTTGATCTAATTGGTCTATAGACAAACATATGCACTTGCATAAATCCCCCAAATTAAAAAGAAATAGAATTTCTAAAGCTTTAGGTGTGCTAAGCTTAAAAAAAAAGTACTAGCTTAGAAGCATTTGAAGAACCCAAGTTTATATAATTAAGGTGAGTCTTTGGAGAAATCAGCCTGGATTAATAATTTTGGTTTAAGGAAAAAAAAGCATTTGTGTCTCTTCTCTGATTTAGCAATGTTAAGTAAATAAATACAAACACATTTTCAAAAAGGCATTAGATTTGTTTTCTCAGGAAGAGATCAGCTAATCTGAGCTTCTTAAACTACTTACATTGATTTACTCATTAACTAAGCTAATAGTATTGCTAGAAAATATTTAAGTTTATGAAAAATGTTAATTTGTGTTCACTAAAGTTATTAAGACAAATTTTTTACATCCATAGAAATTATGTTTTGTACTATGTAAGTTTAAATATAATACAAAAATCCTTAAAACCCTGAGATAATATTAAATTATTTACTGATTAATCATTTGGTAACTAGATTTTAAAAAAATTGAATTCTAAAACATTGATTAATAAAAGCATAATTTTAAGTTCATATACTTTTTCTTTTATATGTGACAGAAAGGCTATGCTTTTGAGTTGTGTTAATGTATGCATTTATTTTTGCCACTTTCAGAAGGTGTGAAAGGAATGTATGTGGCTGTAGACAGTTGTGTTATGTGAACTTATGAGTTTTATTCACCTGCTGAAATGCTTGCATGTAACAGCTCTCAATAATCTACCTCCAGCGTCCCCTGTGAAACAGAAGTTATTAAATTGGTTGAAAGTTATAATTAATATGGGGCTAAGACCACGTTAAGGGAGGTAATAAGACAGCATGCACAGTAATGTAATGAGTCTTGTTTTGCAAGGAGAAAGAGAGTCCTAAAGTGTCACCTTGTTCAGAATATGAAAGAGCACAGTGAAAGACAAAACTTGAGGAAGTATAGCAAGTTGGAGACGTTTTGATGAAAGTGGATCTTATTTGCCTTGGTTTGTAATACAAGGCTCTGAAAAGAAATTTTGAAATATGCTAAAATTTTGGCAAAGTACATTCAGTTGTGAAGTCTTAGTCACCTATAATAATTTTTTTAAAAACATTGTCAAATTGTATATTAATTAAAAACTAAAATTTGACATTCTCTTAACCCACCATCTGGCTCCATTTCCCAAAACCTTTAGGGTTCACTACAATTTATCTGGGGCTTCTCCTGACAAAGAAAGGATGTCATCTTAATTAGTGTTTGGGGGTGATGGAGCACTTAATGTGTAAAGCTTTAGAGAATGAACTTCCCAGGGTATTAGTCTTCTCTGTAACTCACCTCCTGTCGTAGAATCTGGCAGAGTGGGAGCTCTGATTAACATTTGAATTGACCCTGACCTACAGTTGTTTCTAGGGGCTTTCCTGTGCCTCGGACAGTAAAGAATCCGCCTGCAATGTGGGAGATCCAGGTTCCATCTCTGGGTAGGGAAGATCCCCTGGAGAAGGGAATGGCAACCCACCCCAGTATTCTTGCCTGGAGAATTCCGTGGACAGAGAAGCCTGGCAGGCTACAGTCGCTGGGGTTGCAAAGAGTGGGACACGACTGAGCGACTAACACTTTTCACGATTGTTTCTGGATTGAGTAGCCAGAAGCACTGCTGACTGATCTATGGTTTTTCATCCCTCTTTGGGGGAGGGGTGGTGTTGAGAGAGTTGTTGCTTATGGGTCTGCTTTGGTTCTGATGTTTCTGTTTATTTTCTGAGGTCACCCCAAGATAATGTAATATTAAACTATACAGTGGTAATCATATTGGTATGGTGACAAACGATTTTCAAAGTTCTTTCACATTTTATTTTGTTTTCTTCGTTTATTTAATTGCTGTTATCTTTCCCCTCAGTTACTGTAGCTCCTGTATTGCTTGAAGTAATACTTTAGGGCTACTTGGTATCATTTGTCTTGCCTGACTGGTTCAGGGCTGTCTGTCTGGAGCCTAGGATACAAATAGCCAGGCTGTTCTTCCTTCTTTCACGCATCTTTCACTTGAGTCCATTGCTGCTGTATACCCTGCTTCATACGATAATTCATATTTATTAATGCTATTTATACTCTTCCTCTGATGCTACATTCTTAATATATTTCATTTGCTTTAATAACACATAGTTCAATATTGACCATTTTGTAAAATCGATGTATATTATTAGATTGGCTTTCAAGATTTTGAATAAATAATATTCCAAACATTGTTTTTCCCCAGTTTAATCTAACACAGATTTGTTTCTAGCCATGCAAGTTTCTGTTGTCTTGTCTCTCCCAAATGAGTTGTGGAGTAATGCTGTAGTTCCCAAATATCAGTTAGTAGATGGGTGACCTTCTTACTGTATAAAACCACCTGAAAGTTTGTTCAGTTACATATAGATTTCTCAATCCTTTCCCCAGATTTAGTAAATCAACTCTTTGTGAATGGGACATGATTGTCTCTTGCAGAGCAAAGTGCTTACCATATATCCTGTAACCAGAATGTCTGGGTTTGAATTTCGGCCTCTACATATATTAGATGTGAAACTTTGGGTAAGTCATTAAAACTCCCAAGTCCCAGTTTCCTGATCTGTAAAATGGGAGTAATGATGATGCCTACCTCAGATGGTTGTTGTGGGGATTAAATGAGCTAATAGTTGTAGAGTATTTTTTTAAAACAGTTTCAGGCATGTACTAAGCAGTATCTAAGCATGTATTAAATAGATAAATCAGAAGTTACCCTTGATGGTTTTAACACAAGAATATTTATGAGTCAGTGGAA